CGGGGGAATGTCCCAGACGATGCGTCGTGTCCACAGAGCGCAGGGCCACTGACGTGGGATAGACTGACAGAGCTTGGGAAACGACGGAAGCAGACTGACACACATCCTTATGTAAAAACCTTCAGTTCACAATTATTATTATAGTTTTTAAATCTCCCTGGTCGCCTTTGGAGAGTGCTGGTGCATCAGTCCATGATTCTAAAAGGTCACCACGAGAAAGGATGAAATGTTTCTGGTGCTCTTCCCGTATGAAATGCATTTCAGGGTAAATGAATAGTTGATGAGGGAAAGGTTTTCTTTATAGATGATTCTAGCTAATAAGTTCAGAGTACATGATAAAATTAGAAAACGCCATTTGAAACCTCTACTGGCTCCAGGTAACAGTCCTCTAGGTGCTAGACCATTAGGGGTTGGCGGGGTCTTTACAACAGAGGGTTGGGGAATCCCTCTGCAGCCCCTAAACACTGTAGTTTCACTGAAAGAAACGATCGGCCAAATCAGAGAGTGGGACGTTTCCCAGGACAAATGATGTGATTTCTCTAACAAATGAATAACGTGACTAGAAGGGGGCGAGGGTCCTGGAGAACCAGAGACTCACGAGGTGGACAACACAGCAGTGGGTCCTTGTTTTGATTTGACTTGAACAAGCAAACTGTAAAGTCATTTGGGGCACAACTAGGGAAATTAGAATATGTATCGGGTGATATTAACTTTATAAAGTGAGATTAATGGCATGGTGTTATGTTAAAAGAAAGTCCTTATCAGTTAAATATACAGACTGAAATCAAACGATACATTGTCTGATATTTAATGTAAAATATGCCAGAGAAATGGGAGGTGGTTGAGCAGGACTATATATAAAACAAGATTGGCCAAATGTTAAAAATACTGGGTGAGGTCTCATTATACTATTTCCTCCATTTTTATATATGTTTGAAAGTCTCAATAAATAGAAGTTTAAAAATATGTTGGGCTTATACTTCATTCTAGCTCATCCTGAGTACCTAGAAAGCATATGAGATGCTAAACTTTTAGTTAATATTGATCGTTTTGAATTTAACAGGAAAGTCTAGGGCCATCCAGATTATGATGACTGTTTTGAAGATGTTTTTAAGTTGTATTGATTACTCTGTCTCATTCACTTTTCCGCAAGGCCTATTATCTAAATCAGTCTTATTGTGGTTACCTATCATAGGCTTTAGAACTCTTTTTAAAGTAGTTTCAGTTAATGGATTGTTGGCTTTATTTTTTTACGAAGAAGCCAAGAAAATTGTTATAGCTGTATTAAAAAAGTTCCTTTGACAGTCTCTGGAAATAAGCACTTTAAAAATTTCTGTTTTTAAGTGTTTTTTCTTCTGTCATTTGATGCATTGTATGTTGTCTTAAGCACTAGTATTACTGAGTCAAGCAAAAGGAGACCAATAATTTATTGGTCCCCTCGTTATTGGGAATTTGAGTTCTAAGTAGCTCTCATGATCATCTTATTAACCTCGACCTTTTATAAGTGAAAATATTGAGTACTTGTGGTTAAGTAATTGCCTTTTCTACACTTTCCAAGGTCTGGGGGCATACTGGTCAACCTCCAAGTGTTTGTTTTTTGTTTTTTTTTCCAGTGGAGGGATATGCTGAGCCTGAGTCCTGGCCTCCAGCAGGCAGTTAGGGTTCATTATTATTATTGTTACTATGTTATTATTATTTGTTACTATATTCAACCTCTTGACCCTCTCCAGTCCCTGTCAAAATTCCATTGATTGTTCAAATTCAGAAGTTTGAGGATTTTTAAATATTTTACCCACCAAGATAAAATTTCTTTTGATTGGGGCATTTTAGATAACGTTTAAAAAAGTCAGTAGAATCCAAGTTGTTTTGAATTTACTAGACCTGTTTGTTAAAGGCTTCATACCATTAACTCTGCTGAAAAGGCAGGGGATCAGTTTTGTGATATTGTCCCTCTTGGCTCCCAAGTTGTGTTTTTATTTCCAAAAGTCTAAAGAGAGTTTGAGTTTGTCTGGGATGTGGAACTCGGCATTGCAACCTAATTCAACATTTAATAGTTTTGGATTCAACCTGTAACTAAAATTAGTCTCAGATGGAGAGTCTGGCTACTGCCCTAGTTCTTGGTGTCTCAAGGGCTATTTATTTTTGTTTTTCATTTAATTTACATCTGCTTGTTTGATAATCAGATGTGGAAGAACAGATTCCTGGCTTTGCTGAACTGTCTTTGGATGTCCGTGGCTCTCCCTTATTTTCCATTCTTATTAAACCCTTCAGCGTGACGGTTACTGACTCGAGTTTCTGAGTGTAGCTAACAAAGCCTATGGGGCAGGCGATCCTTATGCAAATATCTGTAGTCGAGGTCAAAAATATTTTTATAGAGGCGCTTGGCAAAGACAGATGGATTTGGCACACCTAAGCAAAATTTTCAATGATCAAAGTTTTGTGCAGTCCTTAACAAAATACTTGTTCCTTGACTCAGGTTCACCTGGCCTGGCCCCAGCCAAGACCGCTGGTGTCCACCGTAGGCAGCATGGGCTTCTGCAGAAGCAGAGACGTGCAGTCACGTCCTGGGGGCTTTGGGGCTTCCTCTGTCGGAAAGCTCCCAGCTGTGTCAGGATAAGGGGCAGCTGTCATACAGGGTAAAGCAGACTGGTGCCCCCACATGCTTATCTCTACTCTAGACATCTCTGACTTTCAGATCCACACATCCACTCCCTACTGGACATTACGAGATGGCTCACAGGGATCTCATAAAACATCCCAAACTGCATTGTTGACTTTCCCTGCAGACGGACTCTTGTTTCCCCGTCTCAGCGAGGGCTCACTCCCTCCACCCAATGCCGGAAACGTGGGAGTCATGCCTTGGCCTCTTGCCCTGAACCTGCCTCTGTCCGATCCACTCTGCAGCCGGGGAGCGATCCTTGAAAACACAGTGTGATCAGATCACATCCTAGCTTGAAAGTCTTCAATGAATCCAAAAGAAGCTAAGGGAAAACTCTAAAACGCTCGTGTCTGGCCTCTGTCTCTCTCTCCATCTGTACGCTGGCCCTTCACTCATTGTCCTCCAGCCATGTGGGCATGAACACGACGGGCCCTTTGCGGCCTCCACGACCCCACACATGCTCTACCCTCGGTCGAGAATCCCTCTGTGACAGCACTCTCCCCCCTCCACCTGGCTTCCCTACCCATCCTCAGTTCTCGGTCTAAGCATCACTGCCTGGAAAAGGCCTTTCTTGGGGTCCCCATCTAAGTTAGACCACTCTCTCACGCAGTCTCATCACGTCCATATTTTCCTTCAAGGTTCTTTTTGGTGTTTGATGTAACTCTCTGTCAGCTTACTTGTTACACTTGTCACCAGACTGTAAGCTTTGTCCTGGCAGGCTCCTGCCCCTTTTCTTCACCGTGAGAATCAGTTCAGGGTCTGGCACAGCCGTCTTTCCATACGCACTTGTCACGTGAGTGAATAAACAGAGGAAACACACACTTCTAGTTCATTCTATGACTCAGGCGTTTCTTATCCAGCCTGTGACAGACAAACTACGATGGAAACCAGAAGAGCTGAATCAGAGGCTAAATGTGTGACCTTGTCGTGTTACTTACCTCCTTGGGGCCTTTGAAGATTCGCTCTGTCCAGCTGTAAAATCTCGGATCTAAAAGGGGCTTTTCTAGAATCAAGATTTACTTTCCCAAATATGACCCCACTTTGAAGAAATGAAAATTGTTTTAATACCAAATGTGACTTTCACAGACTTGCGACGAGAAAAACTTTTGGCTTTTTTTAAGGAGTAATAAGGATTTAAGGAAGAAATTGTCTTTCAATTCCCATCAGTTTGCTTCAAACTGATTCTCTATATTTTACGTTTTCTTCTCCTTCTAATCAGTTATTTCCTGTCTTTAAACTGGATTAACAGAAAGAATTCGTCCCTCATCACTTATCTCCAAAGGGCATACTATTCCAGGAAAGGACATTGCTGTTCTTTCAGAAGACTCATTCACTGTGGCGAGTTGACCTGAACAGTGTACCGTACACACACACCGTGGGCTGTTTTTTATATTAATTGGTTTCAGAAAAATGATCCCCTTTCACATGATGCCTCTAAGAGTATGTTTTCTTTTACTGTAGTAACGTTCCTCATATTTTCTTGTTTCATGAGTAGTTAATTTGATCCAAATTTTAGATCCATAGTTTCAACGAATTACGCAACTGTAAGATAGCTTTAGGAACAGACTTTGCTACCAGCGCATTTTACAGATGGCAGAAAATGCTAATTTAAGAAGGTAAATGACTTGCCCAAGGTAACATGACTAGATGGTAGCAGAATCAGAATTAGTGAATAGATTTTATACTAGTTTTAAAGAAAGCTGTGGCTGTTTCTTATCCGAAGATCTTGAAGAGCAGCAGAGCCCGCGAACACCTGTGGTGCCAGAGGCTCAGGCTAGGTCCTACATGGTGTGAGGTGATAGCCCAAGGCTGAGCTGACACCACAGTTAGCAGGCTCGGCTGCTGTCTTGTCCCCTCTCAGCCACTGTGGTGGAAATCTACCAGCATCTGTCTCCTTCCCTTATAATATATATAAATATACGCACACATGCACATGTAGCGGGAGAGGGGACGTTCTCCTTGACCGTCTTTCTGCTCTCGGAGGGGAGGGCAGGAGGTCCAGAAGTGCAGGAACACTTAGCTCAGGCCCCATCATCACCACACTGTGAGAATGGAAGGGACCAGGAGCTACACAGTAATATGTATTAGTAACACACAAAAATAATAATGAACATATTCTTCCAGCTGCTTTAAAAAATAACTCCAACAGGAAATGAGCACTGTCTCTTGTGTCCTCATTAGTTTAGCAGCAAAACAGTGTACCTTAATACTGTGTAAGTGAAGCCAATTCCAACAGAGGTTGTCACATAACAACCACCTGCGAGAACCGTGTGTGGCATGCTTGGGGCTCACCTTCTCCGTTACCGTCAGGCTGCACCGGAGCCTCCATCCTGCAGTCGTCATGAAAAATGCAGCCCGCACCATTCGCACTCGCCAGCAGGTGCTATACACGAGGTCCGTGTCTCACAGCGGAGCCGGACTCCAGCCGGTGAGCAGGAGGTGGACTTGGGCAGGGAAGGCATGAGTATCGCTGTCCTGGCACTGAGGAGGAAGACAGGGATGAGAGGTGCAGAACCAGCCACGCGTGAAGGGGGCGCTCTGGGGGCCCCGGCCCCCTGTGGGAACAGCTGCAGGGGGGTGAAGTAGGAAAAGGTGAGAAAAATCAGACACGTTAAGCTGGGATCAACAGACATTGTCGTTTTCCCAATAAGAACCAGTGAATGAAAAACGATGCTTCTTACAGGCGAATTTATAAACAACAGGAGCGGCTTTGAACTTGTTAGAGGAAGAAAAGTGTGAACTGCCCCCAACCGCAGGCTAACCGTCTTTTAGGGCTAAGAGTGCACAGATGAAACAATCGAAATACAGAGCCGCTTGGTCCATTGCCCACCGGAAAACAGAGCACAGATCAGAAACTGCGTTTCCCAGAAGGTTTAACATTTGTGAGATGCATAGGAAAACTCCTACAACCCATCAGGAAAACGCACAGGCTGTGGGCAGGCGGTTCCCATCCCCCAGCTGGGCCCTTCCATCTGCCCTCCTCTCTGCCGTGGTCACAGGTCCTGCTTCAGATGTGGCCTCATATGGCTGCCTGCTCACACACACACACACAGAAGGGGGCCCTGCTTCTGCTGCTGTCCCCCGGGCTCCAGGGCACTCACTGTCTTAGAATATCCGTTTGCAGTCAGATGCCTATTGAACGCCCACTGTGGGAATTGGAGGGTGACTAGGACGGGGACCCGACCATTCCGGGCTTCCTGGTCTTCCCTGGAGGAAGGTGCATGTGAATTTCCCAGGCCTTCTTTCCTCGTGTGTGGAATGGAGCAGTAGCTCCACTCACCTTGCTGGAATCACTGGTTTCATTTCTTTATAGTTTTTTGCCCCAGTGCACCTTCCTAAACACTCCACTTTAGTCTTGCCCACTTTTAATTGGATGTCTTTTTAGACCTTTAGAGGGAGACACCCTTTCTCTTCCTCACAATTATCTGTTGAACAGCCAGGGCCCAAGGACCCGGCGAGTTGCCCAGGGCCCACTGTTCTTGGTGCAGCGCTTCCTGTCGCCTGTCCTCTGTGCCTCCTGTGGAGTGACAGGTGGATGCAGGGGCTTGGCCAGACCCGGGGTGGACCCCTGAGGCAGGAAGGTGTTGAGTTCCTCATCGGGCGAGAGCCGCGGTGATGTCCTGGTTTCATCGGGGGTGCCAAGCAGTGATCGTCCAGCTCTGCCACTCCTTCTTCCTTTATTCCTGGAAACTAAAAGAGACGATTTCCCATTAGCTTGTTGTTATCTCAAGTACGGTCGGTCCGTGGAGGAACAGGGACAAAGGCTCCGTTCTTTTCGTTTGATTTATCAGCTTTTGAATAACGAGGTGGTCCCCTGTCCCCTGCAGAGGCCACAGTGTGGTTTGTTAAGTGTCGCCGTGAGCTCGCAGACTGAAGCCCGGTGATAGGTTTCGTGCACTGCAGTAGCGTCCTTGCAGGCGCTCGATCGTTCCTAATGTCTGTTGGTTATTGACCCCGAGCTAGGCAGCTTTCACATGTTATTTCATCTGAGCCTCGTAATTCCGTGAGGCAGGTACTATAATGTCCGTCCTACAGACAAACCACAGGGGTCTGGACCCACCACTTCTGCGTGTCAGGGCCATTCCCGTCCTGAAAGAAAAGATGTGTAGGGTCAGGAGCTTGAAGGTTTGGATGAAAGGGAACTATTTTAAAAGGCCAAGGGAAATGAACCTTATCTGTGAGAAGAAGGGATGTTGGGTATTGTGAATGAGGAGGTATTTGTTTGCATAGGCAGGAAGGAACATTTAATCTGTGTTTGGAAAAATTAAACTTTGCTCCTGGAATGATTTCAGCTGTTGTTTAAAATCTAGCAATTGCACTGTAGGACGACATTCCAAATAGCCGTGGGGATCTTTTGGACTCAGGCTTGTTTTTATGGCTTTTTGTGTTCCTTATAGGATGTCCCTTGAGCTTTTGGGTGAGACATTGTAAACCGTAGCATTTTTCATTTGCTTTTCTTCATGGTTAAAACCACGGCATTTGGAGACATCAATAAAGCACTTTGGGGGGGGTGTGTCCCCGTGCAATTCATCCTGGGACACTGGGGTTACATTTTGGCATGATATTAAAGGAATACCACCGTAATCAGGCAACGGAAAACTGAACGTACACCACAGGGAGGAGCAAAGGACCTGGGCTGGAAGTCAGATCCCGAGTACAGGAGCTGGGAATCCGGGGCTCTGCTCTTATGACATCAGCGCCCTGCTCCTGGTGGGTGTCTGAGTTCCAGCATCTTTCAGAGTTTGGGAGTGAGAAGGATTTAAGAACTTCCTCTGCCACAGGGGTATTTCTCTTATTATATAATGATATTACTGTTATCATATCAGCATACACAGCTCCTGGAGCAGTCTCCGGGGCACAGTAACTGCTCAGTAAGTACTCGGTGGAGACAGGAACTCTGGATTAGTGACTCCCCTGAGAATAGCTCTTCTTCTTTGAAAGCCGTGTGAAGACACCGGCACATGCAAATCTTTGTGTGTGGATCAGATGAGGACATCCTGACAGTCATGCTGGGTGACATGATAGAAGGCCCCTAGTCACTGGCTCGGCCTCTTACTCATTGCCCAAGTTGCTGTGGACCGGTTTCCATCCCATCCACTCTACTGAAACTTTTCATTATGGTAGCAAATGACCTCCTGGTCTACCAAATCCAACTGATAACTTGAAATAAGGACTTTAATGACACTCTGCCTCAGTCACTCACTCCTTCTTAAGCTGCTTTCTTTGGGTTCAGTGAGTTCATCCATTCCTTTCTTGTTTAATTTGCATTTTGGAAAGATGTCTAAGGCATTGATGTAGAGTAGACTAGGCTGGAGGCAGAGAAACCAGCTGGGGGGTGGTCAGGGGGCCATTTCATTAGAGTGGGCGGTAGATGAGAAGTCCCACAGCAGGCAAGAGCAGGCATGGAGAAGGTGAGACCAATGCAGAGATGCCTCAGTAAGGTCAAGGCTTAGTCAACAATTGAACGTGTTGCCAAGGCTAATATTGAACAGTTTTTCATTGCCTGTCGTACCCAAATGCACACCTATGATTCCTGTAGCATTTCACCTTTGATTATGGTGACAGGGAAGGTTAACCTCTCTGGTGACCACAGCATGTAACACCAGGGAGACCTTGCAGTGTCCAGATGCAGCATCATGCCACTCCAACAGCCGTCACGACCGAGCTTCTGGCAGTAAATAAATAACCAACAATGACAATCCTGGAACAATAGCTGTTGTATCCCATAGCTTGTGTCTTTAAAACCTATGTATGCCACTTTTTGACACATATTTATTTTTGTAGATGTATATATAGATATCTCAAAGTACCAGTAAGAAGATGAGAAGGTGTCACCCTAGCATCTTCTAACTATTATGGAAACATCAAATGTCTACGAGTTATTCACCACTGCAATTGTTGGTTGTATTTAAAAATTCTTCCTATACCCCTCTCTTTTCATGAATTCTCATTTTGTTTTAGAATTAGAACCAATTCAAAAGATTGATGTTTTCTTTGCTTAAGTGAAACTAAGCCGCTGCTGCATTTCTGGCTGAAAATCGTCTTTGCTTCTCTCCACACAGGATATCATTGAATAGTTTCGCAAGATCAACACTTGATGTGTTTTAAAAACAAACCCTTTGGTTCCACCTGTTATAATTAGATTATAGCAAAGATTTCTCTAGCCTTATGAAATTCTTCCCCCTCTCTTGAAACGTCAAGTGCCCTGAGAGCCCGTCACCCGGAGGGTGGAACCTCGGGCCGCAGCAGATGAGGGACTCTGTGTGATTCCTCCGTGGAGTGACTCCCTTCTCAGTATCAGGGGTTGGCAAACGTCTCCTCTAAGAGGACAGAGAGTAAATATTACAGGCTTTGAGGGCCATGTGGTCTTGCTCTCAGTTACTCAACTGTCTGTCGAGTCAAAAGCAGCCGTAGACGATCTGTAAGCAAGGGTGTGGCTGTGTCCCAGTTCAACTCTGTTTATAAAAACAGGCGACAGGCTGGATGGGCCAGGGGCTCTGCTTTGCCAGTCTCTGCTCCATGTGCTTAATGCAGCCCTGGCAGAGTCTCACTGCTTTCTTTATTCTTTTCTATTAGGAAACAGTCCTGGTGAAATGTGATAGGCCTGGTCACCCTTTCATTAATAAGATGTATAATTTTGAAAGGTAAGTGCTTTTTGAGATGGTATGCAGAGCAAAGTTACACAAATATGAATCTGCTTTAGGGTTTGATTAATAAGAGGTATAATTTATCCCATCATCCTGACTAATTGTAAAGAAGCAAAGACAGGTCAGGGGAGAAAGGAGAGTCCTTTCAGCCAATGGTGCTGGAACAGCTGGACGTCCACATGCAAAAGTGAGATGAACCTTGATCTATACACCACACCTGTTATAAAATTAACTAAAATGGAGTCTGGACTTAAATATAAAACCTAAAACCATAAAACTTTTAGAAGAAAATACAGGAAGAAGTCTTTGTGACCTTGGGTTAAGCAAAGAATTCTTAGAAATTCCACCAAGACCATGACCTGTGAAAGAATTAAGATAAACTGGAGTTTGTTAAAATTAAAAACTTTTGTTCTGTGTATGATACTGTTCAGAGAATGAAAAGACAAGCCACATCCTGGAGAAAATAATTTGGAAATCACATGGCTTACAAAGGACTTGTATCAAGAATTACAAAGAACTCTCAAAAATAAGAGAATAAGCAACACAATAAACAAGTGGGCAAAGTATCTGAGCAGACTTTTCACCAAAGAAAGATGCCCAACCTCATGGGTTACTCAGGAAATACCACTAAAAGCACAACTTGAGGCCACTACACGTGTATTAGAATGACTGAAAAAAACCCGAAACTGACATTGCCAAGTGCTGACAACTCTCATACACTGTTGATGAGAATGAGCAGGGGTGCAGCCCTGACCATATGACCCAGCAACCCCTCTCCTAGATATTCACCCAAGAGAAATGAAAACATACACTTACACAAAAAACTGAAAGTGAATGTTTCTAGCAGCTTTCCTCATAACTGACAAAAATTGGAAGCTATCCAGGTATCCTTCAACTGGTGGATGGTTAAACAAATTGTGGCACATCCATACAATGGAGTACTACTCAGCAAAAAAGAGAACAAACTCTTGTTGCACACAACAACGTGGATGGATCTCAAATGCTTCACACAGAGCAAAATAAGCCAGACCCAAAAGGTTATATTATGCATGATTCCTTCCATAGACATTCTGGAAAAGACAGAACTGTAGGATCAGTGTCTGCAAGGGTTGGGGTGGGGAAGGGATTGTCTACAAAGAGGCTACAGGAGGGAATTTCTGCAGGCAAGAGAACCGTTCTAAATCTCGGTTGTGACTTTAGTACAGATTTGTTAATACTCAGAACTGTAGCAACAAAAAGTGAATTGTACTTCTAAATTCAAAAAATATAATAAATTATTTCAAAGAGACTTTAAGATACATCAATCAGTTGTGATGTGTGGATCCTGATTCAATCAAATCAACTATTAAACTTTTTTTAAAAAAGAAAGTGGGAGTGGTTATATTAATACCAGTCGAAGTAGATTTCAGATTAATAACATTACCTGGGAGAGTGAGGGTCATTTCACAACAACAAAGGGATCAAGTATTAAGAGGACGTTAACAGCCCCAAAGGTAAGAACAGAGATTCAAAGTAAATGAAACCAAAACTAGTGGAACTCAAAAGAGAAATGAACAAATCCATAATTTTAATCCAAGATTTTTAACACTCCTCTCTCAATAACTGATAGAACAAGAACACAGGAGTTGGTAAAGATATAAATTTTTAGCATATATATTTGTTTTAACGAAGTAGAAAGGTCATCAATTTCTCCGTCTTCCTCCAGAATGATAAAAGGGCCTTAGAACAATCACCCACCCATCTGCGTGCTGTCCAGTCAGAGCTCCTCAGTTGTTTAGGCCACGGAAACACACAGGCATTGATCCTGGTCCATGGGGTTCCCGGAGAGGCCGGAGGTCACCATCCCCAGTTCATTCATTCATTTACCCCATGTGCCAACCAAATACCATCTTCTGTGAGGGCTGTGGTGTGGGAAACAAGAGAACACTGAGTTAGTAGCATAGGCGGACCCTGAGGCAGACTAAAGGTGGCCACAAGGTCTTTGATGCTTGGGTGGGCCCTGTGACTGCTGAGACGCTGCACCACAACTGAGGGGCGCCGCCTCGCCTGCAGCCCGGCAGCCTCGTGTCCTCAGTGGTGGCCCACGCTCTCCGAGAGCCCCAGCCGCCTCCACGCTGGAGGGGACACAGGAGGCACTCGGTCAACAGCCTTCCCGACATCCCACTGCGCAGGGCTGGCATGGAAGGTGCCTCGGCCTGCAGAGGGGTCTCGAGACTGCCCATTGGCCAGCTGAGGCCCCTGAGTGACCTCTGCCAACCACGTGGAACAGAGCTGCCAGGCCTGGCCCTGCCCCGCTTTCTGATCCGTGAGATCACAAGAGAGAGAAAACGGTCAGTGTGAGTCCATCTGGTATGAGGCAAGACGCCTTTTTTTCAAACCTCTCAGACTGGAGTTGTGATTCTGGTTCCTTCTTAACAACCACTGTCACACTCACTGATGGACGTGCTCAGTGGTTTACCTGTGCTGTTTGCTGAGGACAAGTTCTGTCTTGCTGAAGTACATCCTTCAGTGGTTTTCACGGTGATATTCTTTCAACCAGTGGGAAACGCATTCTTTGCCTTGAATGACGTGTATCCACAGTTAGAAATGTAGGCAGAGAGCTGTTTTTCTCCCAGCACTTGAAGATGTGAATCCTGATCACCCAGCTTTGTTGCTGCTGAGAAGAAGTCTGCCAACAGCCTAAATGCTGTTCCTTTCAGTTTATTTTGTCAAATCAGCAAATCCAGACATCGTATGGAGAGACTTTATTGGAAAGGACCATTACAGGGAGGAAAGGGATTTAAGGGGCTGTTGCCGAGAGAGAGGCCCTCTGACCTGAGCTCTGTGAGCCTCTGCAGGGTCAGGAAAGAGGGTTTTTGTTCATAGGGTGGAGTGAACAGGCTCCAAGAAGTGGGATGAGGAGGGTGCAGGAGAGGGGCAGGCTCAGACTGGTCTGAGAGAGCTGCCCCCTGAGGCCAGGGATTCTCAGCAGGGGGCATCCTGTTTTTATGTAACTTTCTGAGTTTGGGATTTCTCTATCAGTTCAGATCCCACATCCGCGTGTTGTACGGGTGTGTGGTGTGATTTCTCATGGGAGACTCGCCCCAGTCGAGAGCCTGGGGCACTCAGCAGACTTTCTTACCTGTATCTGGACCACCTTTCCGGGCCCAGGCCAGCGTTTGAGTACCTGGATTTACGAGGCAATGTCCCTTCCGTGGCGCGTCTCCCGTCTCCAGAGGGCAGGCCCAGCCTGCAAGCCCCCTTGCTTCTGTCCAGGTCTGCACCCAGCCTGGTGTCTGCAGGGTCAGCCCAGGCTTCCTGCTCCAACCTCTGGTCTCCTTTTCATTGTTTCATCCCAAACCTTCCCTTCCCTTCCCTTCTCTCCTCCAGGGTTGCCTGTGTGTTCTGCGGCATTTCTGGTTGTATTCATCCAGCGTTACTAATGTGGGGAATGGGGGGAGGAAACGAGTTGCATCATCTCCGCCTACCCTGTGACAAGGCAGATCTAGCGATGTACCTTATATTCATGTAGCACTTTAGATGTCACCAAGTGTGTCCACGCAAATTAAGTCACTGAACCTTCGCAAGAAGTCCCGGGAAGGGCGCTGCAGGGGAAGAGATGGGGCCCAGGCAGGGCACAGGTCTTTCTGGGGCGACGTCCAGGTCTGTGTGTTATACCAGCTGCTGCTGAGATGAAGCGTGGAGAACTGGCAGGGGCCTGGGGGCGGGGAAAGTTCTGCCAGTGGCCATCTGGACCTTGATTTGGGGAAGGAGGAAGAGGACCAGCCCCATTAACTCAGACATGAGTGAGTGTTCTCCTTAGAACACTCTGTCTCAGTGTCCTCCATGGAGGGTGTTCAGACTGAAGGGAATGGTCTAAACTGTGGTGTTTGGTCTGAACAAAAAATAAATGAATTGTGTAACTTGCTGTATATCTCAGTGAGAAGGAAGAACTTGAATTTAAATCTCTGTAGAATTTATTCTGGGGGATATTGTCTGGGATTCGGGATTGTCTCATTTCATAACAGTAGGAGCATATGGGTCTTGGGAAATCAGAACATTGTTTATTTTATAACAGCTTTTTACGGAACTAACAACTGTCAAAACATTTTATTTCCATTCTGAAAGAAAAATATCAACAGTTTCAGCACTTAACTCCTTTTTAAAAATAAATTTGTGTGAAGGGGAAAGTACACTTCTTACTAGTCAAGAAAAATATGAATGGGCCCAGGATCAGAAGAAAGTTGTTGTCTCCTAAGTGGAATTAAAATATTAGCATTTTTTTTTTAAAAAAAGGCAAACTAAAAGTAACAGCCACTGACCCAAAATGCAATGAGAAAAATAACAAGTAATTTTTATTGTTTTCAGCACCATTTCTGCGTCAGGAAGCTGGAGGACTCCCGGCTGTGATCTTTTATTATGGGTCTTTATGCTCTGATGGACCGACTCACATGTCTGTATTAATTTCTGTGTGTCATCGTTCAGGTTCAAGCGTTTACAGAGCTCCTGCATGGGCAGGACGCGGGATGTGGGAGGCTAAGACCACTCCCCCCGTCAGAGATGGGGTGTGGAGACCACGCACAGCAGACTGTGGACTCAGAAAGCCTCGAGTGCAGAAAGGCAACGTGCAGCAGGACCCAGAGGGCCAGGCTTTGCACTGGGTCTGGACAGTTCAATTAACCAGGAGTCAACCAGGCAGAGAAGAGAAAAGACATCCAGTGAGGGAACAAATTGGTCAGAGGTGTAGAGCAAAAAATGAGAGCGAGCCATTCAAAACCCCAGAACCCTTCAGTGTGGCCAGGCGTGGGCTGACGGAGGGCCGTGGGGTGTGGGGGTGAAGCCGCCTGCCCACCAGCAGCCTGACTGCTTTTCTCCACCCGGTTAGCTGAGCTGTCAACAGAGCAACAGAGCACGTTGTCAGGCTGGGGTGCCAGCCAGCCTGCGGTGAGAGACGGTGTTTCTGTAGCTGCTCTTTCCTGGGAGTGAGGGTGAGCATCTTGTCCCGTGGTTAAGAGTCATTTGCATTTCTTTTCTTCTATGAACTCTTCACATCTCTAGTTATTTTTCTATAAAAATATAGAAAGGATTTTTAATACATGGAGAACTATAGGAATATATAAGAAAGATAAGGAAAGACAAGGAATGTGGCCTTCTTCTTCTCTATTCTTAGGAGCACTTTATATATTAGGGAGAGCAACCTTTTGTCTGTGATTTAAATTGCAACTATTTTTCCCAGTTTGTCGTTTGTATTTTTTCTTTGCTTCTGATATCTTTTAGCCTTGCAAATGTTTTTGGGTTTTTTTCCCTTTAATGTAACCATAGTCACAAAGGCCACAGGTTATTGAAGAATATACCCATGTGTTCTTGTAACACTTGCAATGGTTTGGTTTTTCACATTAAACTTGTCATCCATTTGGAATGTATCCTAGTATATTGTATAAGGAATGGATCCAATTTTATCTTTTTCCCTATATCTATCCAGTTACCTCGACGCCACTTGTTAAAACATATCTTTTCCCTACTAATCTGAGATGCCTCCTTTATCACAGGGCTCATTGCCACATACAGAGATCCATCTATTTCTAGATTTTCTCTTCTACTCCTGGTCTGTCTACTTGTTTATTCATGTGTCCAGACCGAGATGACTCAAGGGTAGTGTCTGTATAGTACATTCAATGTCTGAGACAGACTCTGTCTCCATCCCTTTATTTCTCCAGGGTTTCCTTTCTATTCCTGCTCTTTCATTTTGTCAAATAAATTTTCCATTCAAATTGTCGAGCTTCAGAGAAAACCTGATGGTATATTGAGGGGATTCAGGCAAGTTTATAAACTAACTTTGGACAAACTAGCATCGTCATGGGGTTGACTCTTCCTATCCAAGAACATGGTATATCTTTTCATTTATTCGAGTTTAATAACGTGTCTTTCAGGAATGTTTCATGATTTTCTTCATAAAGCATTTGGACATTTCTTATTAAGTTCATTTTTTATTTTCTTTTTCCCTAGCATATATAGGATCTTCCTCCCATCCTATCTTCTAACTCGTTTTGTTTGTATACGTGAATGCTATTGATTTTTGTACATGAATTTTTTTTTTCTTTTGAGGAAGACTGGCTCTGAGCTGACATCCATGCCAGTCTTCCTCTATTTTGTATGTGGGTCACCTCCACAGCATGGCGTGATGATCGGAGCGTAGGTCTGCGCCGGGGATCTGAACCTGCGAACCACGGGGCCACCAAAGTGAAGCATGCGAACTAAACTACTATGCCACCAAGCCAGCCCCTGTACATGAATTTTATAACCTGCTACTTTACTAAATTCTCTTATAGATTTAGTAATTTTTTTGTCTTCTGATTTTGGACTGCCCAGACATATGGCTATTGTCCCTCTAAGTAGTCAGTTTTACCTTCTCCTCTGCGATTCTTACGTCACCAATTGCTGTCTTCTGTCCACTGTGTCAGCTATAACGACCAGTACCATGTTGAGTACAGTGCAGGGAGCGGGACCTGTGACCTTCGCCTTGTGTTGATGAGCAAGTCTCCAGTGTTTCTTCATTAAGTCAGTTGTTCACAAAGCCTCAACTATTTACTATTCAGAAAAGGTTCGCCACTCCTGCTACAGATCAGAGACTTAGACAACAGTCAGCCAGCTGCAATGGATATGCCTTGTTTGAATCACGATTTTTAAAGACTGATGGGAAAAATAAACTTATTAGAGAACTGGATAAATGTGAACATTGCCCTTCTTTTGCTGATGTTAAGGAATTACTGTTAATTTTTAAAAGTGTGATAATACTGACGTTGTTATGAGTTTTAAAAGAGTCATCATCCTTTAGAGATACATACAAACATTTACAGATGAAATGGACACGAGGTCAGCTCCAAAGGGCCCCGGGGGCGAGGGGCAGGGGAGGGTTAGATGAACTAGGGCAGCCGTGGGTGCGTGTGGGGTCTGAGCAATGCTCATATGGGACACATTCACTATTCTTCCTGCTTTGTATTCTGGTGATTTTTTTTGATGAAAAGTTTAAAAAGTATATTTAATAGCGCAGCATCATCGCACTTGCTCTGAATGCCCTCCTAGTCGGGCAGAGAATGCCACATCTTATGAGGAATGCCCCTGAAGTTTAAACTTAATCCTACTTCTAGAGATGACGGATCAGTTGGGCATTATGACACGTTTTGAAAATGAAAGAAGGAAAAATTTGGTTCCAGCTAGACAAAAACCTGTATTTCAGGAAACCAAGCTTAAAATCAAAGCGCATTTGATTCGAATAACAACTAACAGCTAGTGTCTGTTTCATGTATTTGGTAGTTGGGCACTGACTCTGCTCATCATTGCATTCCAGTCTGGTTTCAAAGTGTGCAGGAAACTGCTCTTTTGGAAGTTGCTTCCCAGTTAGCTTTATTTGTACACGCTCATGAACACAGAACCACATCAGATTCCCCTTTGCAGAGCAGACATTGCAGTCCCCTTCTGAGTATTAACGTTCTGCTGAACTAACTGGCCCTATGAAAACAGTGTTCTTGAGAACTTGAACATAAAAATTAAGTATTACATATCAACTATTGCCCAGAGTGTGACTTTTACATTGTTGTTGTTGGACCCATGTGAGTGGAGTTCATTTAGTTACAGGATAAGTATATGGTGTCCTTTCTTTGTTTTTTTTCTTGCTTTTTCTTTCTGCTTTGCAAGCATTTATAACTTGGCTTATGCTTATTACGTTTTTATAACAGAGGAAACAATTCTTCACTCTTAACTTCTGTTAGCTTGAGAAGTAATGGAATTAATCTCTTATTGTGAAAACGTAAGAATCTTGACTGTGTTGGGGTGTTTACTTGGGAAGTGCGTAAGGATGCTGTATTTGAATACTAAATAGCTCTCTTTTTCTTCTAATAATGCGTCATTTTCACTTTGCCTCCCAGAGTTTATGGTCCAGCAGAATCTCAGAGAGTGGTATTTGAACATGTGTGCCCTCTACTTACGTCTCTCTTAGACGGGTGAGTTAAAATATGTTCAAGGTCGATTATCACAGTTACATGTAAATGTAAGTAAATTTCATTCACTCTAGAGAATAAGAATATAACATTAGAGTCTGAGCATTTTGTCTGGCTGTGGAGCATATCCAGACCCCAATGTTGATTCCATATCCCTTAATGGCGAATATTTCTGCCTGCCAGGAAAAGGAGTAAACATGATTTGGGGAATAACTGTGAAATGAGTACAGATAACTTTGGTTCCAAGTGATGTTTTAGTAACATGTGTGTGGGCGTAAGACTGTTGGCAGCTGCTCTCCTTCTCTCTGGGATTCTTTTCACATTTCAGAGTTTTTTAAAAGTCTGTTAAGAATGTTAACATTAGATTGAGGGATTTGTCCCTTTGGGAACGAGCCTTCTGCTTATGGAAAACACTACTGCTGATTTCAAAGGCAGTGGGTCATAACTTAGGAATAGAGATTACTTCTTTAGCAATAAATTGAGCCAGGTTTGTATACTTAATTGAGTCACAATCAGCCAAGACTCTCTACTTCGGGTATTTTGAAGAATCTCAGTTTGGCGGAGAGGTGACATGCAGCATCCTGAAGAAGACAAATTTGCGCTTGCCCAGCAAAGGCTCCTGCACAGCCAACTTCCACAAAGTTGAAACTGTAATTACAGCGTTGCTTCCCAACCACAGCTCTGTGGCAGCTGAAGAACATCACGAGGTGCCTGCAAGGCCCGTGGTGTGATAGGCCAGGTCAGCAGGGGGAACCCATGGGTCTCCAAGTGCACACACTGACGTGGCCGACCCTCCTACCGTGATGAAGTTTCTGCTTCAACTCTTCTTCTGGAATATTGGAATTTTTATATCCATGCAAAAAAAGTTCTTCCATTGAAAATGGCAGGAACGACTTTTTTTTTTTTTTTTTTTAAGTAGGCATCTTTTAAGTAAGCAGACTCCAGAAACAAAAAAAAGGCATAGTGGTTGAATGATGTTGGCCAGAGTTGCCTTTCCCTTATAAATATGAAACAGATGGCATTATTTTAAGTCCTGAGCTTTTCTCTCTACATTCCTAAATGGTTTGGAAGACCCCTTTAAGAGCTCATTTATCTGCTGCAGTCAAAGATATTCCTCCCCACACACAGAAATGCAAGTACATCTTTCAGGGAAGGTGTAAGAGATGTGGAATGCAGTGGGGTTTTTGTTATAAATACCGAGACTTTTCAATTCTGGAAGAAGAAATTACACGACGATAGCTTAGAGGTCCTTGATCAATTTTTGCCCTAACATATGGTTTCCTTTGTCTTTTTGGTTGAATGGAACAGCTGACCTTGGAAAGCGAGGCCTCCTGGATCTCTAAGGCTTTTTGTGTCACTGTTCGAGGTGCCAATCCTCAAAGTCATTTTATCAAAATAGCAGTCTTTGTTTGTATGACTCGAGGCGGGTACACCAGGTTGACAGTCAGTCTAATGAAAGGCTGGTCAGTTAAATCAGAATCCCTGAGGGTGGGGCCTGCACTTGGGCAGGTGATGCTAATGGGGGCCAGAGCTCGGCGTTCAGCCACTTGTGGGCCAGGCTCACCCCCACCTTCACGGCCAAGTCCAAACATTTATGTCGTAAATTTATTTCAAATAATCTTTCAAATGTTTCCCATCTTCCCATTGACACTTCAGGCTAAATAACACAACGGGAAGAAAACCTAAGGATCCATCTATAGTCCTTGTCTTCTGTGAAATAAGCCACGGTGAAATAACCTCAGACTGTAGGATTTCAGTGAGCAGGCCCGCCTGCTCACTGAGAGGACATCGCTCATTCTGGTTGACGAGGAGTATGAAAACCCCAAGTCCCTTGGAATAACAAAGCAGGAATAGGTTATAATCTTAAGTACAACTATAGTCAGCAGTGCTAGCAATCGTCTATGTAATGGGGAAAAATATTTTGAGAACCTGAAAAGGAAATATGCAGACTCGCGTATCGTTTCATGTACGTTAGAGGAAGCCTGAGTTTACGACAATGAGCTTACATGAGGCAACTCCAATACTGCACTGAAAATTAGAATGAATGGAATTTAGGAGGGTCTTGCTTGGGTTGGAATCCTCATAAAGATCATGAGTGATGGCACAGGGGACCCCCCGTGGTCTCCCAGGAGGAAACGTCGAACACCAGGGAGAAACAGGTGTCGCTGAAATGTATGCTGTGTGCACAAATGGGAATATCATTTAATCCACTATTGTGCAACCACACAGCAACAGGGGGGATTATGCAAAAAATGCTTGTAGTTATAAGAAAGCCTAATTTATAAGGAATGGAGGAACAGAGGAATACACAGTGAAACTTATTGAAGTTTTTCATCTGAGTAAGATTTCTTCTTAGAATCCAGCTATGGCACTAGACCCAATGTGTGTTCTGCTGCTGTACTGAAATCTGTCTTGAATTCTAGGTACAACGTTTGCATTATGGCTTATGGACAGACAGGAAGCGGGAAGAGCTACACCATGTTGGGCCCACGTTACAAAAAGGAGCCTGTCCTGCCCTTGGAATCTCACAGCGACTTAGGAATCATCCCCAGAGCCGTTAAAGAACTCTTCAGGTACTCGGAGGGCAGTGATGAGCAAAGAAATACAACAGCCGTGCAGGAGAAGTGAGCAGTGGGCGGCATACTGAACTGGTGTGTCAGAGAAAGTCCCTATTTGCAGAAGGTCACAGCTAATCCTCTTAGAACACATTAAAAACTACCGCGCGTTTAAATACTCTGGGTGTTATTACCACAAATGCTAGAAATTCTTATGGCACACTTATATTGAAACTCTACGGTCAAGACAAATCTTCTTGAAAGAGACCCTAGTTCAACAAATTCCCAGGTGAAGAGAGGGCAGAAGATGGGGTTCTTCTGTTCTAGAATGGGAAGTGGGCAGAGGGAAGACCGCTGGTGTCTTTTCCTTGCCTCCTGCTGCCATAGAAAGAGTAGATACATCTGGTTCTCTTCTTAGGAGTCACAGCGAGCTGGGCGTGTTGAAGATTCTCCCGTTCCATTCACACATCCCCAGAAGAGACCCTCTGTCATTGTCACGGTTTCACCAATACAATGACTCCTAGAAAGAAAGCAGTGACAAGTTCCCTCAGCAGTCCTAGTCGGCAGGGAAGCCGGAATAACGCGTGGTGCTGACCTTCCACCCTGCTGGCTTGGTCAGTGACCCTCGCTGCCTTTGGGGAGTCACTTTGCAAGATATTCATAGTCACTTTTTGCACAGCACTTTGTAAGAGCCATCAGCTGACTCTGCAGCCGTATGTTGTGTGTTCCCAAGGACATGTCAGCTCCATGAGAGAAGACGCCTTCCAGCAGCAGGTCTGCAGCAGAGCCAGTTGACCCCCTGTGCTCTCAATGCCCCGAATTTCGGTTTTTATCTCTGTATTTCCTTGTGTAGTCCTTCCATGTCTTAAAATGCAGGCCAGACAAAGACATCAGGACTCCACAACAGCCTAATATTTTGGTGCCTCTTCAAACAAATATTCTTTAAATGTTAGTGCGCATAAACAGATGTATTTATTAATGGACTTCTACTAACTACTTCTGAAAAAAACATTTTTTTCCAAAATATTTCCCAATTTTCTGGAGTTCTTGTTCTCCAGTTTTCTTTTGTGATTTTCAGAATCAGACCATTTTCTAGGAGATCATACCTGTCAGGACCAGCCAGATTGTGCTGCGATAACAACGATTCTGAAAATCTCAGTGGCCATGAGGCCAGCGAGAGGCTCTGCTCAGGGCGGCCGCTCAGAACATGTGCTTGTGCCTCGTTGGAGACAGGGGAGACAGCCCAGGAACTATGGCCAGCCCTGGTGACTCTGCCTGGGAGGAACACGTCAACCCTGCTCTCATTTCATCCACTCAAGAAGGCAAGAGGCCCTGTCTGAGCTCAACGAGGAGGGACTGGCAGTGGGTGGGACTTTTGTGAATGGTAGTGCAGCCCACCCAGCATGTGGAGAGGGTCGTCAATTCAGGTAACAAAGACCTCTTTCTGGGGACACTGCACCACATCAAGCATTTGGTTCAGTTCCAGAATTTCAAGAGGCTGAGACTTCAGCGCGAGTCACAGAAGTTCTCAGCAGAGCCAGGCTGGTGCTGGTGAGGAGCGTCGTCTGCTTCTTCTGGAGGGACTCCTCACCGGGCAGCAGCCGCGCCAGCTGGAATCTAAGTGACGGCCACGTTAGAATACGGCAGAGCCGTGGCAGCGTGTGGCTTTCCTGGGCGTCATTTGGAAAGAGGGCCTCTGGGAGGATCCCAGAGCTGGTGAGAGTCTTGTAGGTCTGCCGCAGAGAAGGGCTTCTGGGGAGAGGCCCCCATTGCAGTCTCTTCTGGTGCTCACTGGAGCTTCCAGATCGCTCTTCAGCCTTCTTCACTCACTCACTCACTCATTCAGCATTTTCAAATGCAGCATCTGTGCTAACAACTCCCACAACTGTCCAGGTCAGTGGAGAGAAACGTGGCATGGATGGTACAAATCGTTAAGTCATCGGCCAATAACTTCTTCCTGCTAAGCAAACTTTCAAGGCCCAGAAACAGGGTTGAGGTGATCGAAAGACCAAGAACTCAAGTCAGAAACGAGCAAGAACAGTGGGGAGCTGAGGAGTCCTCTGCTTTCTTTCACATGACTGCTTTCTCCGTGTCTTGTGACAGGACCCCAGGAGTGAAGCGAGCCTTGACTGACGGGCGAGATGTGACTGACAGCATGTCTCAGAGTTGTGCGTCATCGTATTCCCTGTGTGAGCCGGGGGCTTGCTTAAAAGTCTATCAGACTTGAGCTGGATTTATAGACGTAAATGTACAGTTAGTTCAAAGTGGGCGTTCATTTAATGGGCCCTGTTTCTGTTTGGTTCTGGAGCTGACCCGTGAGGACAGCACACAGATCGTAAAGGACTGGAAACTGTGTGACTCAGGGGAGAACTGTAGCTGGTTAAAAATTCTATGAAAGGAGATCAGTTAGAAAAGCATTTGGATTGTCAGCACTATCTAGAAATGGAGTAAACAGCTTCACCAAGAGTGAAATCACATCACTGACAGGTTTAAGTTCCTTTGTTTCTTTTCTTTTTTTTTTTTTTTGTGAAGAAGATCAGCCCTGAGCTAACATCCATGCTAATCCTCTTCTTTTTGCTGAGGAAGACTGGCCCTGAGCTAACATCTATTGCCATCCTTCCTCCTTTTTTTCCCTTTTTTCTCCCCAAAGCCCCAGTAGATAGTAGTTGTATGTCATAGTTGCACATCCTTCTAGTTGCTGTATGTGGGACGCGGCCTCAGCATGGCCGGACAAGTGGTGCGTCGGTGCGCGCCCAGGATCCGAACCCGGGCCGCCAGTAGCGGAACGAGAGCACTTAACCGCTAAGCCACGGGGCCACCCCTAAGTTACCTTGTTTCTAAAGTGGGTTTTTAATGTTGTGAGTCTTGCATGTGAAATTATAACAAAATGTTACAGATGTTCCTGAAGAGCATGGTGGTTCAGAGCATTCGAATCCTCCACATGGAAGTTTGAATCTCTGTTCTCCCGACTGAATGGCCATGGGCCAGGCTTACCTCCCTAAGCCTCACTCTCATCATTTGCAAAAATGAGAATAATAGTGCAAACATGGAACATTTTCCACCTCTTTGTTTTCTAATCGTAAGTGGACAAGATCCAGAAAGGACCGTGTTCAGCGATATTGTGGGTGTGTCTGGATTTGCCTAATGCAAAATGCAAGTAGTCCAACTGCCCCAAACAGAGAACCATAATAACCTCAAGTATTGATATCAGAGGGTGTTCATATGAACCTTTTACCCTAAAAAATGTTACTCAACATTGCTGAGGTTATCAAAGGAATGCACTCCCTGCCATTTTAAATAAAATAAAATGCCACTTGGGGAGTCTTTCTGCCTTACATCCTCTTCTTCCTTCTGAACATGATTGCCAACACTGCATCCTTCTACATTGATCTCAGCTGTCGTTCTTATCAATAAAATTTACGAGGATTTTCTACCTGCTAGGCACTGTCAGAGGCACAAGGAATACAAAGACGCATGTGATAATTTTCAGCCCTCCAAGTCTAGAATGGAAACAACTAATGACAACGCAGCAGGATACGGGCAGGACTAGATGAACAGCACAGAAAGTGGCCCAGAGGACCTGGAGGGGGCGGTCAGGGAGGGCTGGTGAGGGTCCACCTGCCTCCCCCCTGCCCCGCCTCTGGGCTCAGTGCCTGCCCGTGGTCATCTCCTGGGAGCCTATGCATCTTAGATAAAACGTATCACATGACATCAGAATAGTTTGTTCACGTGTGTATCTTGCCTGGTGAACACTCTGCTTCTTCGAGGCAAAGACTGAAGACTAGTTTTCCACACTATTCACAGATTCTAGCCAACAACTGAATAAATACTGTGGGACAAATGAATCAATGCATTCATCAAACCAAGTACTTAATTTAATGGAAGAAAATCTTTCAAATTAGCTCCCTTAGTATTGTGTAGATCAGAAATTTATAATTCAGGTTTTGTGACACTCAAAGATATGACCTGCCATACAAAGGGATGGAGCCAACGCCGAGGTCAAGTCTGTGTGTGTGAGGTGGGTTTTCCTCTGAAGTACGGAGGGAAGGGATGTAAATCTCTTGCTTAGCTCACCTAGTTTCTCACTTTTCACATGGTGCCTCTTCTTAGGGGAATCTCAGCAAACCCCAATCCTGAGGATAATCTGAATCTGAACTCTTGGCCAACAGTTATTTTTACTGGAGAGTTTAACTTATTTTTTCTTTCATTTTAGTCTTTTTCATTTTCTTAATTGTTTTTCACTAGAAGACATTAATTGCTTATTTTATTCATAGCTCTCTTGGAGATCTGGATGGAAGGCTCACTCCAGCAATGCTTGAATAGGACACAGCCAGACAGTATTTTTCCTCAAGCACGAACAACGTCCACAAGGCTGGACTCCCAGCCCAGCTCTCAGAATGTCTTTTGGGCAGGAAAAGCACAGAGTCAAAATCAGATTGATTGTCCCATGCAATGTCAGAGAAGCAAAAACTCCAGAAAAAGAATCCTCACTGGGTCTTTGTTCCTGGTGACCAGGTTGTGGGAAGAGAGGAAGCAGACCCAGGGTTAGTGGTTGCTCCTCCCTTGGAGTGGATTATGGGGTTTTTCTCTAAGCATGTAGTATCTTTATTTTTAGACTTGTCTACAGCCAGCACATAGTACTTTAAAAGATGAAACAAAGGAAGATGTGTAGTTGTTTTGTTAAGAGCCTGGGTAGGTTTTACCGGGGTCATGGGCAGGGCTTGGTTGGAAGGCCCTCTACAAGGACTCAATATTCCCTGAAACAGAATAAATTTTAAAATAAACGAATGTCATTACTGGAAAAGTGCTAAACACCCTCATGTCTCTGCAGCTTGCTTTGGGCTTCTGTGTAGCGACAACACTCCAGTGGGGTAATTTCTGAATCGAGGTTCCGTGTTCCTCGTGCTTCTTTACCTCGTGTGTTTAGAGTCCCAAGGGTACCAAAGGTTGAAATAGTTGATTTAGATATAGCTCAAATAAAATAACTTTGTTCCCAAGATAGTTCTTCACCTACAATTTATTTATTTTTTCTTTGTGAGGAAGATCGGCCTGGAGATAACATCTGCCAGTCCTCCTCTTTTTTTGTGGAGGAAGACTGGCCCTGGGCTAACATCCATGCCCATCTTCCTCTACTTTATATGGGACGCTGCCACAGCATGGCTCGACAAGTGGTTCATCGGTGCATGCCCGGGATCCGAACTGGTGAACCCCGGGCTGCGGCAAGCGGAGCACGTGCACTTAACTGCTTCCGCCACCGAGCCGGCCCACATCTACAATTTAAAGAGGACTTTCCCCTCTTCCTGCTCGATCTTGATGTTGGTGAGACGCTGCCCTGCACTCATGGACCACACGAGCTGTGCTGAGTATTTTCTAGGACTATGATCATGCCACACTGAAAGGCATTCTTCTACCACTGTTTTTAAGGGGTTATCTAAGTTCCTCTGATGTTTAGTCTCTTGTCTTCCCCTCTTCCCCAGGCTTATTTCAGAAAATCCGTCGAGGAGCCCAAAGGTTGAAGTTTCCATAGTGGAAGTTTATAATAACGACATTTTTGACCTTCTGGCCAAAGACAGTTGTGCAGTGACCTCTGGGGTCAAGCGTGAGGTGCTGACAACCAAGGAGGGAAAGAAGGAGGTCCCCTCGCTGACCTATGAGTGAGTGTTCCGTGCGCTCCACTGGCAGGTGCCGGGCTTCTCTGAGCATCTCCAGCCTTCGTGGGGCCCTGGTGGAGCCACAGTGGTGGCCAATTTGATGCTCTTATCAATGAAATGGCTCATTGTGGCTTTTAGTGCTTAGAATGTGTTGCACAATTTTCAGTTTGCTTTAGAAATTATCTTTTATTAATCACAATTTTAAAAACTAATTAATTAATCTTTTGAAGTATCTTCATTAAGAGTTGGTGGGACAGGTTTTATCCCCATATTGCAGGTAGGGGACAGGCTTGGAGGAGTAAATAACTTGCCCAATGTCACTCAGGGAAGTACAGACGTCCTTGAGTTCCATGAGTAAATATCGATATTTTATAGAATACAATAATGAGTCATCTTGTAAAAGAGCAAAGCTCCTCATGTAAATAAATCTTCTCCTCAAAGTGAGGTGTTTCTGAAATCCACGTCTGTGGATCAGACCTGCTCACAGTGGGGGTTCACCTGGACCGACACCACATAGAGGAGAACGGAATCACCGGTGAGTGTCAGGCGGGGGGCTGCCTAGTGTGGGATCTCAGAGTTACTAAGACAAAGTCTGCAAGCGACTTTAACCATTGAAAAAGCCTAAAGGAAATCATACATTTAACCATAAGTTTGCACAAGGTAACCCAAACTTTCAGCTTTCGCCTAATAGACTATGATCAAAATATTACCGCCTATGATGGAAAGTTCTGATTACCTGTCATATCTCATTAATTAAAATAGGGAAATCAACTTTTATTTCATAAATTTGATTTGATAGACAAAATATTTAAAAATCTTGGGGTCCTTGAGAGTAGAATAAATAAAAGAATGCTCGACGTTGAAAAGGTTGGGAACCTCTGACTTGGTTCCAAAACAGGTGATTATTTCAGGGTGAAGCAATTAGAGATAAAGTCAGTCAATTAGGCCTCACAAAAGTAAAAAGTTTGATGTATTGTGTTTTATTTCATCTAAGATTTGCTACTTTCTTAGTTTGTATAAGAGATTTCTGTTGCTGAAGAGTATGAGAGGTTGACCTGTGGCAGAGGGCCTGTGTCCCCACCACCCACACTGGGCCTCAGTGTCTCTAACGCCTGTCCCAATCTGCCAGGTCTGTCCGCAGTGCAGAGGAGTTCATGACGCTTGTGGGCGGACATCTGCAGCTCAGGGCGAAGCATGCCACCCTCGTGCACGCCGACTCTTCCAGATCTCACCTGATCATAACAGTGACTCTGACCACAGCCCCCTCCTGGGATGGCCCTGGTAAGTGGCCATTCGTGCCTGGTCAGTTGCACGTAATAGATATCCACATCTGAAGAGAAAAACCGTGCACCTGCAGGGTCTGAGACATCGCATAGACTCCGAGGATGGGGACTGCAACCTCATCTTTGGAAGATCTGGAACCCTAACCAAAGAGGCCGTGGGGCTCCCGGGCTGAGAAGAGAGGGAGATTTGGGGGTGGGAGGGAGGAAAACCCTTTATTAAATAAGATATAGCACAGGAAGGAAAACAGGGCATATTTGTATTGAGGAATATGCTGCATTCATCATGAATAACACTATAAATGTGATTTTGGTTTAGAAAGTTACAAACCGGTATAAAATGATTCCAGCTATATAAGAAAAATCATGCACGTGTTGCAAGGGTCTGCATGTCTTCATCAGTCAGTAAAGCCCATGGTGGTGTATACAGGATCACCTGCAGGGCTTGTGGAAACACAGATGCCACCTGGCAACTGGATCTGTAGGGCTGGGACGGTGCCTGAGAACCTGCATTTCTGCAAGTTCACGGTGCCAGAGCCCACTCTTGGAGAACGGCTGGTCTAGGGCCCTGACTTCATACTGCAGTAACAAAGAACCTTGGGTCCCAGTGGGTTAACACTAGAAAGGTCATTTCTCACTCGGAACGCAGGCCAGTGTGGGCTGGATGCTCCTGATCCATCTTGTCACAAGGCCACTTGAAACATGTGGCCTCCAAGGTGGCCCAGGCAAGTAAAGAGAGAGGTGAAGGTGATAACACAGACTATAGCCTATAGCCCCGCCAGCCCAGAACTTGCCCTAACCAGTCTCAGACCAACATGCCTGCAGGGAGGGCGGGGCCGTGCACGGCACGGCACGTGCCATTTTAGGGAGCCCGGACTGTTCGTTCAGGCCACAAAGCAAGTATCCACAGATGACAAGGCCGGCCTCTTACGGGCAGTGGGGACCAGGGTGGTTTTTATGTTCTTTTTAAAAATTTACTTATGTGTATTTTCCATGTTTTCCACAGTGAGTAAACACTATATAGGTTTTTTAAAAATCTTTTTAAGAAGTCTGTTTAGGAATAACGCATGATGAGACTGACATAGACATTGAAATGAAGAACATTTCTCAGGATTCTTGTTGAGGATCATCAAATAGAAATTGTAGAATTTGTTTCCATAAGGGCTAGCAGTTTTTCTGACTGGGATTTTCATTACTGTCACTACCAACCTTTCTAAGAAACCTCATTCAATCTTCTTGGGACTAATCAGGATTAGTTCAACTTTTAACAGTGAAAAATGCTTTCTTCGTCCTCTCCTTTCACATTTGCCCGAGAAGGCGTCACGGTCCCCCGGGCCCTTGCCTGTCCATACTTGAGACTAAGTCACGAGGCAGCCGGCTTCGCCTCTGTGGGAGCAGCCACCTTTGGGGTGGGGTTGGAGGCTCCTCAGCGCCGAGGGAGCTCAGGGATGCTTCATGGAGCATCTTGCTCCCGCGTGTCCCTCTCCTCGCAGCCGACCAGCAATCAGATCGGTCACTGCTCAAGGAGCTCGACTGCCCCTTGCCCCAGCAGCCGGCCACAGGGAGAAGGTGGAGCGCTGCCCCCCGAGCCTCGTCCAGGTCCCCGGGGGCCACGCCTGAGAGCCCCGCCGGACACGTGGAGCAGGTGCGCGCCAAGCTGCAGCTGGTGGACCTGGCAGGCAGCGAATGCGCTGGTGAGCCACCGTCTGGGGCCCAGAGCGTGAGGCCTTTCCCCGGGGTGAACTGGGGCTGTGGGGTCCTGACCGAGCCCACTGTGAGCAGGCACCACAGGGAGTCCTCAGCACGGCCTTCCCCTCGCAGATGACCTTGAAATCCCTGTTCCGTCTTAGCGGGTTGCTGTCTTACCACTGCAGCCGCCCATGTCAGTCCCAACATGCTCTTCTTGGTGGTGCTCTACACTGAGAGGAGCCTCAGTCCCCAACAGGAGCTTCCCTGTCGGTGGCCGAGTGGGTTGTCAGAGGACATGAGCGTGATGAAGGGTCTCCCCGCTGCCGTGCTTCCTCCACTCAGCCGTGCAGAGTGCTCGTCCTGAGAAGCCTGTTTCACTTTTCTTGTTCATTTCTCGATGTCGCCCAAGAATCTGGTGCAAATCCTCACCCTGTGTGGCTGGGTCTGTGCATTTCCCAGGTGTGTCTGGAGTGACAGGAGTGGCCCTGAGGGAGACGTCGTCTATAAACCGGAGCCTGGCGGCCCTGGCTGACGTCCTGGGGGCCCTGTCGGAGCGCAGAGGCCACGTCCCGTACCGGAACAGCAAGCTCACCCACCTGCTCCAGGATGCTCTCGGTAATTCAGTGCCCCCAGAAGAGAGGAAACTGCTGTCCCCCTGCTCTGTAGGGAGCTCGCTCCTCCCAGCCACACCTCCTTTGGGGACTTCTAGGCTCTCCGGGCCCACGTTGTCCCCTTTCTTGATATTTCTAGTGCTGTTATTAGCAGCTGCACACTTCACTGTTCTCCTGTATTGTCTAGGACTGGGGTTGGTCTGTTTGGTAGACATGTGACCGGACCCTCCAGTTTGGTCCCGAGTCCCTTACGGGATGGCTTCCATGCCCTCTCTCTCATCCTGTCGGACACACAGTGGGCCCTGAGCAGTGGGGACTCTGCTGAGCTTGTGTGAATGTGCGTGGTGACTGGACCCTCGTGCTGTGTCCACGTGGCTGTGCCGTGTGCTGATTGCAGGTGCCAGAAACCCAGACTGAGTTAGATTAAGCTCAGGTGGCCCTCGGGGGTGCAGGCAGCCCTCCGAGAGGTGGATTCATCAGGCTATGGGTTTGGGATTTGAGGTGGCCCAATGCCATCACTCCTCTCCTCTGGCTCAAGTTCTCAGCCAACAGAGAGGAAGGCGGAGGGGAAGGCGCTGTCATGCTCGAGGCGGCTCTGTTCCTCCTGGCAGGCGGGTTTCTGATGCTGAGTTTCACACTCAGACTTTCCCCAAGGCAGCCCTGGGCCAGCTCAGGCCACCTGCCTGCTGAGGGGGCTCTGGAACACACAGATCAGGGAATCCTGGGAGGGCAGGCAGGGTGGGCGTGCCCGGGGTCTCCTAGTGAATATGCCCACCAATTAAGTGGCTTTTCCTTCCTTGGGAGACGCCGGTCATGGGAGGCTGGTGAGCTCCATCCACAGGGAAATCACGGGGAGGGGATAGGAACAGACAGGAGAGGGGTGGAAATAGATGGGAGGGGGCAGTGTGCTCTGCTCTGAGCTGCAGCTCATCTGGGATAACCAGGGTAGAATGTTCTGGGCTCTCTCTGTCTCTCATCTCGGGGTGGGGTGTCTCTCTCTCTCTCTCTGCAAACTGACTTTCTCCACAGGATGAGAAAAGAGCTGATCTTACTTTCTTGTTTTATGGCCCCCTGACACCATGATCTGCAGGGTCTCTCAGCCCAGGGCCGGCTCACCCCACTAAGGAGCAGCGGAATGGGGGCGGGGGTGGAGGGGGATAGATGGCGGATGGATAGATGGATGAGGCCGGCATCACGGGAGCGCTCCCCTCTCAGGGCCATGCCCTCCTTTCTCGTCCTCCCCTCAGCTCCCCTCTCTTCCCCTCCTCTTCCTCATTGGTTTTCCTTCCTTACCACGCAGCCTCACTGTTGGGCCTTGAAAGCAAAGGAAGAGGCTGGTTCCCTGGGCAAGAAGCCCCGGGCTCTCTCCCAGGTCCTGCCAGGCTGAGGGAGCGCAGGGTCCCCAGGTCACCCTGTATCACCCTCGCTCTCACCGGGTAACCATCTCCTAACCGCCCAGGGCTGGGGAGGGGAGCTGTGGTGCTCCTGTGCTGGTGGGGAGCTGGGGTTACCCTGGGACCTGGCCAGCTCACCTGCTGGCGCTTCCCGAGGCCAGCCTGGCTCTCCTGTAGCGCCACGCATTTCCGACATGGCAGCGACTCGGGCTCCACAGTATCTGAGAGATGCTGTATTTTTTTCCTTGGAATTTTTCCAAGCGCATGTTGTTACTTCTTGTTTAACAGGAGGCGATGCAAAGTTACTGGTGATTCTGTGCGTGTCCCCCTGCCAGAAGCACGTGGCAGAGACGCTGCAGAGCCTGGGGTTTGGTGCCCGGGCACGGCAAGTCCAGCGAGGCTGGCTAGAGGAGGCCGTCCGGCCCCCAGAAAGCCCAGGTAAAGGAGGGTGGACGGCTGGACGTATCCATGGCTTTCCTCTCACTTAAAATGTGCTTCTATCGTCACTTATGATCACGTGCCCTAAAATAAACCCCTTTACTTTGGACTTCACAAACCTGTTTTTCCAAGGGAACAGAATGGACATTGACAGGCGCCCAGGCCAAATCAGGACTGGAGGCTCCCAGGACAAGGCAGGCCTACCGGAGGAGGACCCTCCTTTGGGGCCGGGGACCTGGGGGCAGGGGGTCCCCAGGGGTGGGGATCCCTCAGAGAGGAACAGAAGGAGCCGAGCCGTCTGCAGCAGAGGGTGGGGCTGTAGGAGCCAGCTCCACCCGTTCTCGCGTGAGGCTCAGACCAGACGGAGGTCCGGGATCTGAGCGCGGGTTCTGGACCCACACAGACGTGGGGCTTGTGGTGGCTCTGTGTCCGCAAATTACTTACCCCATAGCCCCGTTTCCTCGTCTGTAAAGAGGCTGTCTGGAGGCGTCGAGTGCACGCAAACACACCCCAAAGGGCAGATGCCTCTGTGTTATTATTGCTCCTCATAACAACCCGTGTCTTAACCGCTTGCTGCCCAAGCTGACCGAGGTCCCGGAGCTGGGCAGGACGAATGACGCGTGGTGGGACTGTGCCCTCTTAGCCTTGGGGTCTGTGGACAGAATTCAGGGCTCTGGGAGCTGGGATGAGGAAGGCAATGTGTCTTCCTTCCACAGACCTTCCGCTGAAATCCAGCAGCCACGAATGTGGGAAACAAACCCAGTGGTTATTACCGACCGTGACCCCGATGGCCGGCAGACGCAGTCCAGCCCCACGGACCTCCTCAGACGAGGCAGGGGCTGTTGCTGCATGTTCACGAAGAAGTGCCATTTCACTGTTGCAGCTTTGACCTAATGATGGCGTTTCCTTCAGTTTTAAGCTGTCCTGATGAGAAGTGCCCGTGGGCTCCACCGGGCTGCAGAGGGGCCGTCCACAAGAGGGATGGGAGTCAGAGGACAGTCCTAGGAGGCAGCTGCCAGGACGCAGAGCCTGGTGGGCAGGCGAGTTTGGAGGGCATCAGCTGCTTAGTGCGTCCCTGGGGCCAGCACGGCCATCTCTGCCCCCGCAGGAAGAGTCTGTGTCTCCATGGCAGGGGGAGTGAGTGGGGGTCCCCAAAAGGGCCACAAATGTGAAGGATCCCCCAGAGAGGGCCAGGATCTGGTCTGGTCGTCCGTCACACAGAGGGTGGGGCCCTAGCTTCCAGTAACCCGGGTCAGTGAGGCCAGGCCCCTTGGCTTGGCCAGCTCGGGAGAAGGAGGACGATCAGGGGGCAAGAGAGGGGTACACAGGGGGAAGAAGCTGCCCCCTACAAGGGCTGCCAAGCATGGGGCAAGGAGGAATCTCAGAACTGGGAGAAGACTAGCATTTTGCTTCAGATCAGAATAGACTCTTTTCAACACTGAGAAATGAAAGGATTAATATCCAAGCATAAAGTGAAAAGTGGAAGACTATGGCAGAGATTATGTGCGCGGCTACGAGACTGGGTTCAAAGTGGGCCTGGTCAGCCTGCTACCCCCCACCCCCGGTGGGTGCCCCGATGCACAGCCAGCACCTTGGGAGGAGTGGAGAGTGGCACAGTGTAAGTGGGGACAAGGTGGTCCAAGCCCAAAGTGATGGGCTCACCTCCGTGATGTTTGCAAGTGCCCCAGGCTGTGCCTCTGCACCAGCCAGGAAGCCCCCCTCCCGCACGTCTCCCTGGGGCCACACAGTCGAGGGTGGGGGGGCGGCCACTTAGTGTGGAAGGGCCGCAGGGCTGCTCCCCGTGTCCCAGTCGCCACCGTGGCACACTCCTCCGGGAACCTAGACGAGCCCAACTGTGGGGTGGCGGGAGGGGCACGTGCATGAGGAATCACAGACCCACTATAACACTTGATTTTGCATCAGCAATCCGTGTTGGCTCTGAAAATGAGGCTAGGAGGCAGGTTTCAGAGACATGTCACAGCTATGGCTTCTGCAGAACAAATGGCTTAAATGTGAGGAAAATACTTTCTGACCTCAGCTGGTCTTACGTGAGCATGAGGAAAAATCTATTTCGAGCAATTAGCACAAACCAAGCAAACCTGGGCCCTGCAGGTGGATCTGGGGAGGGTGTGCGCAGCAGGGGCCCTGACCAGAAGCGCCGTGCACACACATGTGAGGAGGGAGGTGTGGGAAGACATCTACTCTCCTGGCACCTAGGGGGTGGGTCGTGGGCAGCGTGTCCAGGGCCACGCTTACTAATTGGCCTTCCTTGTTCCTTCCTGCGCCTTCTCGGGGCTAGAAGAGCTTTCCGCCCAGCTCTCGGCCAGTGGGGCCAGGAGGCTGGGCACACTCGGGGCAGTGAGTGAAGGAATCAATGCGTTAAGGACCACGGGAACTTGTGTCTCCCTGTTGGTCGGAGAGGGGCTTCCACGAACCGCGGGGTCGGCTGGAATTGCAGAGCAGTCAGCACTCATGGTTCTTAATACACACAATTAGATAGATGATAGATTGATCGGTAGATAGATGATGGACAATTTAAAAATAAGGGCTAAAGGAATATATTTTTGAGTGTGTGAGAAACCTCCAGGAATGTGGCCAGTGGAAATACAATTTTCTAAAATGGTGAAAACTCTTGGTAATGTTACAAACACGTTAGTCCCAGCTTCCCTTGGTTCACGCTCTCACTTGGACAGCCGGGTGAGGCTCTAGGCTCAGATCCCTGCAGTTTTCCCCTGTGAGGGTCCCATGGGGTAGCAGCAGGTCCTGTGAACGTGACATGAGCGTTTGTGGAGCAGGACTGTCCTGTGCACTGCAGAGTCTGAGGACCCCCCATCACGGTGACAGCCCAGGACTCCCACGAGGTTCAGAGATGCCCCCCAAGGGCTCGCGATAAACCAAATGTTCGCTGAGGGTAGGCCCTAAAGCAGGTGGGGGTAACTCCAGGGTGCTCCCTTCTCAAGACAGTTCCTTACCTGCTCGCCAAGGTTGGAAACTCCCTTAGTGGGCGAAGCCTCTTGCCCACGATTGATGGAAAGACTGAAGATGCAAAAAGACCCAGCAGGACCACAGTGTCTGAGTCTATTCACAGGAGCTGCGCTGACGGCAGCAGCTGGGGGTGACGCCTGTCATGTCCCGCATCTATCCTGAGGTAGAAGATGGAGCTGGAAGGACGCGGGCGCCTGGAGAGGCAAGGACAGGTCACACCCCTGGGGGACTGCACGGCCAGAGGAGCCTCGCCTGCGATGCCCAGGCTGCATGAGGAAGAGGAGGAGGCGGCGGCGGTGGCGTGTGCCCCTGGGGGCGGTTGTGAGGTGCCTGCCAATGATCTTTGCACATAAGCGCTGGGCCCTGGGCCAAGCTCTGCCTGATTATCCCATGGCATCTCCATAACCAGCCTGTGAAGGCATATTGCTGTCATCCCAAAGGATGCTGGACCCCATGGGGCCCGCCTGATAAGTGGCGAAGGTCCTGCCCTAGTGGTTCTTCACGGTGGAGCAGGAGGCAACTAGCTGTGGTGGGGCTGGCCAGCTGCCCACCTTTCTTCTATGCGCAGGCGACTGACGCCTCCTCCGCATTCTCTCCCCTCCCTGCAGCCCAGCGTCCTCCTGTGGGTGAGAACAACACCCCTGGAAATGCTCCCTGTTGCCCTGGACGCCCCCTTAGGACTGTCGCTGGGGATGGGTCACTGGTATCTCAGACCTGAGCCACTGTGAGCCTCATGGTAGGAGTAGCGTGGGTGGACCCGGACAGGCCAGTGACAGGAGGGAAAGCGTGCCTACAAGCCGAGGACAGACGTGTGGCCAGGGGCAGGCGCAGCCCCCAGTGTCCTGAGGGGCTGGCCTGGGCTTTGTCAGCACATTGTTGTGGCTGTTTGAGCCCCTAGCCCTCAGGGTGGCCCAGGGCCTGGCCTTGGAACTGGTGTTCTGTGTTGGTGGTGATAACACAAACTTGTCTCTGGCTCTGCATTGTTGGCAGAAACAGAAAACACTTCATCTGTGGAGGAAGAGGAAACTGAATCTTGGCCTCACTGTGGGGTCACTGTGGGGAGGTCAGTGCATCGTCCGAGGGCATGAGAGTCTCAGGAGCTCTCCGGACCCTCCCCTGCTCACGGTGGAGCTCCCTCCTGTGGTCCACGTGCAGCGTGCCTCTGCCCCCGTGCTCTGCTGCGGCCTGAACACTCGGCCTTGTGCAGCCGTGTCTGCCTGTTGGTGATGCCAGTGATGACACCTGAGCAGGAGCCACTGGAGGCCCAGCCGTCACAGGGCGAGACTCAGGACCACAGCTGACACTGCTGGGAGCTGAGTGGACGGGGCTGGGGCCCATGGGCAGGGTGGGCGGCCAAGGAGCAGGGGCCAGAGGAGCCGTGCGCTCATGTCCTGGAGGACCCAACCCACCGCTGTCCCCGTGGAAGCAGAGAGCAGAGGGGACGCTGGGACACGTTCCTGGAAAATCAGTTGCCTGTGACCAGAGGTCCTAGCAGAGCCCCCGATGGGCCTGGGCAGGGCAGGGCCAGGGTTTTGAGGCCTGAAACTGATATAATTGGATAGTGACAGGGGACCCTCTTGCAAGAAAAAAATATAAGATTATGAATTCTAAAGTAGGAAGATAAATACTTGGAGAAAAATTTAAAAACTGTCAAACACACAAAGACAATACAAAGAAAGAAAATTACAGGCCAATATCGCTGATGAACATTGATGCAAAAATACTCAACAAAATATTGGCAAACCGAATACAACAATACATTAAAAAGATCATACACCATGATCAAGTGGGATTTATACCACGGACGCAGGGATGGTTCAACATCCACAAATCAATCAACGTGATACATCACATCAACAAACCAAAGAATAAAAACACATGATCATCTCAATAGACGCAGAGAAGGCATTTGACAAGATACAACATCCATTTATGATAAAAACTCTCAACAAAATGG